CTGCTGTAAAACAGCGTGGGATGGTGGTTAAGCGACTCCGAGGAAACAATGCCCCTGTTTCCATTCGCACTCCCGGCGATCTTGCTCCGCCGTCTGCGAGCGCCGCTGCACTCGCCCTTCCTCTCTGCCTCTCCACGCTGGACTCTCCTGGTGCCGTGGCTGGCTTTCGGCTCTTCCCACAGTGAACATTTCGGGTGAACCGACCCGCCCCAAGGGTCTGCCCCACCCGGCATAGCTCTCCCTTGTCCCAAGCCTCGCACCCGCGCCTCCACCAGCAGCTGGACGGGAGCGCCAGCCTGGGAGACCTCCCGGCACCTCAGCAGCTCCCACCGGATTCAGCCAGGTGACCCGGGGGTGTACGGGAGCGGCTGCAACGCCCAGACTCTGAGAGCCCCAGAGTGCGAGGCCTGAGGTTCTTCCACCTGGTTGTTCGATTACTATGGGGACCGTCTGCCAACACCCCCCCCACACGGTCACACGCTCGCACCCCGGGAGTCCACGGTTTTCGTCGGGAGGGTGTTTGCAGTCAAGCCCTCAGGTAGCTCGCCGCTGGTCCCCGTGACCCGACTTCTACAGTGGGGTGATCTTCCTGTGGGGCAGGCGTTTCGGGGTCGACGAGGAGCCCCGGGCGCGCGAGTGCCCGCATGTGCTGGCGGGCTCCTGGCCTGTCCCAGCGAATCCGTCCCGGTCTGGACCCACAGGCTCGGCTCTTTGGACCGGAGCCGGCGTGGGTGAGAGAGGAAGCGCGTACCTGCTGGCCGGAGCCGCAGACCCCGCTCGCTCCTCCACGCCTCCCAGTCAAGGGTCTCTACCCAGGTGGCCGCGAGCGATTTTCTCTTCTCTGGTGCACCCGGCCGGGGTTCCGTTTTCGAACCCTGAAGTGGTCCCCGTATAAGCCGCGGCCCCACGTGGGACGGGGACTCGCTCAGGGCTTTTTGAGGTCCCCTCCGGCTGGAGAGAGGGCGCCTGCGACAGGGGAGTGTGCGGCGGGACCCAGCCCCGCCTCCGCCGGTGCCCAGGCCTCCAAAGCGCGCGGTGCGGGGAAGACGCAGGCAGGAGCCGTCCCGAGACCCCCGGGGGCCGGTCCTGCACCTGGGCTGCGGCCCCACTGTTCACTGAGAACATGGGCTCACTTTCTACACTTCCGGTAACAGCAGGAATAAATCAGAAGGCCAGCATACCTTAGTTATATATTTTGTTTAAAATAAACTAATTTTGTTTAAGGCTGAAAGCGAATGTGACAGGTAGAGCCGTTAGTCCCGGGCCATGAATGTGGCCGTCTGCGCTTTTCTGTGTTAACTCCACAGGAAGTCAGAGTTTGCAGCATGGAGGCGGCGGGGACCCGAGGGCGCGCAGCCGACAAGCGCAGAGCAGCAGACCAGAGCCTCAGCGCGCGCGTGGGGGAACGCCGCAAACAAACGCCGGGCGGGAAGGGGCGCGGTAGTGCCATCGTCTCCCCCGGGAGAGAGGGAAGGAGACGCGAGGGCGAGTCCCTAGCAGGAGTGGGAAGACGTGAGGGGAGCGGAAAGACGCTCCGGAGAGCGCGCGCAGACGGAAGTGAGCGGGGTCGTGGGCAGAGGGCGCGCAGGGCCCGGGGAACCCGTGATGGAAAAGGAAGCCCGCAGTGGGTCTGACTCTTCAAGAGATAAGGAAATGGTAGGCAAGTAGCCTTGCGCGGCGAGTATCTTAGAGGCAAAGAGAAAGTGACTCTGCCAGGGTCTGGCTTCTCAGGAAGGCGGAAGTAGACTTGTATATCTTCCACATTTTTTTTAGGAAAAAATGGGGGGGAAAAAACACAAACAGGCCCCAGCGAGATTTGAACTCGCGACCCCTGGTTTACAAGACCAGTGCTCTAACCCCTGAGCTATGGAGCCAGCTGCGAGTTTCCCTTTCGCACACAAATAGTTGACGCTGCCGCCGGCGCCACGCAGCCGCAGTCCGCTTAATCCCCAGCCGAGTTCGGTGGCGGCTGACTCCAAGCTCCTCCCCCGGCCGTAGCCATCTTGCCCATGTGTCCGTGGCGCGAAACGGCCGTTAGTCCCTGGAGAGAGCTCCGCGGAGACTGTGCCGGCGTTGGGCGCGCGCGCTGGCGGGAGCTGTCAGGGCGGGGCGGTACCGCCGAGCTCGGAGCTGTGAGGAGCGCCCCGGGTCTTGGGCGGGGCTGGGGGGCGGGGAGGGGCGTGCGCAGGATTGGGGAGCACGTTTTGCGTCTCGCTGTGCATGAGGAAGCGGGGCTCCAGGTCAAGGCTATGGAAAGGTCAGGGAATGGTGTCAGTGCGCCCGTCCTGCAGGGAGTCCAGGTCCGAGAGGTTAGGGCGGGACCTGGGGCGAGCTGGGTGGTGGGGGAGTGGTGGGGGCAACAGGAGGTGGAGGCCGACGGGAGGGGCGGGGAATCTGGACGGCCAGGTGTTTGGAGGCGCTGGGGTCGGAAGGGTCCAGGCGAGGTTGGGGGTGGGTGCTAGCCCCTGTCTCATATTTGGATGAATTAGGAAAATGCAGCTTTTAGGGCACACCCTGACATGTTCTGTCAGGGCCCTTAAAGGGCGCATGGGGCGGAGGAGAGGGGAGAAGGATGAGGGCCCAGCCTGGCAAAGGACAGAAAGTGGTGGGTGTCGGAGGTGGACCTTGGTCTGGTGGCCTACCCTGCCCTGTGCTCCCTTCAAGGCCGGGTGACTTGGGTCACTGGGCGGCCAGGCCAGAGGCAGGCCCCTAGGTGCCCCCCAGTCTGGATGCTGAGGGTCCCTGTGAAGGTCTGGCAACAGAGGCCTGGGCTTGTGGCTCAGCAGCTAGGACTGATGGGTGAGTAAGAAGGGCCCAAGTTAGGCCCGTTGTTCTCACAGACCCAGAGGTCTCTATAGAGTTTATGATGCCCTGAGTCTAGGAGAGGGAAATGCACACACACGCCCTGGAGGGCACCAGCATCCTGACATCCAAGTTACTGCACTGCCCTGGTTACCAAGAAAGAACATCTCTTGCCTTCTATAGGCAATTGGTACAGTCAGTAACTGTTGTTAACGTTTCTTCAGATATATAGATATGTATGTAGTTACTCTGCAAACGCACACTCTGAGAGACACACGATTGCACTCATGGACACAGAAACGGAAAATAAACATGTGGACAGCTACTCCCAGTCCCCAGACCTGACCCTCCTGCGACGCCTCCCCCCAGACATTGTACTTTCTGGGACCTGTAATGTGTGTTGTGATGCCCAGCACATTTTTTGGATGGTACAAAGGGAATTATGATACTTAATCAAAAAGCCACACAAGCCAGATAACATTACGGCTCAACGGTAATAATAGGTGATTGAGTTAGGAGATTAATGTTAGAGATTGGTTTTCCTTGTGGAAATCAGTGGTATTCAAATGCCTGAATTGGCTACCAGGTTTTAGAGTTGCTCTCCATGTATGAGCAGAACCTAGAATTCACTCTCTGGAATGTTCTGTGGGCAGGACTTTGCAACGACCCTGTCCTCAGCCTGGAGGATATAGTATTCTGATTGTCTGGTGCTGTGTCAACTGGGCCTGCCTCGGATTGTGTCGTGCCTGCCCCATGAGAACCTTATATGCAAAGTGGGCTTGAAGCATCTCAGAGACAGCACTGAAGCGCCATGTCACAGGGCTATTCAGCTGTCATCGCCCCTGCTTGCCAACACCTCTGTCTACATAAGCTGTGCGGGACAGAATTAGGTCCGAGTCTGGTATTCTGTTCATCCAACCTGGTAGCCAGGTAGTGAGGGAAGAAGCCTGTGGCCCTTGTCTAAATACGAGGGGATTAATATTTAACAACAAATCAACAATAGGGTATGATCAAACTGACTTGGGTCTCTGCAACACCTGAACCTTATGCACATGCTCATAAGTGCCCTCTCCAAAATACACACACACACACACACCCCATCCAGGAAAGGTGAGATACAAATGCACACTCCTTCCGTATATAAACATGCATGCTCATTCACTCTGGCAGAAACCCTGGCTCACACTTACGCTCCTGTGCTCGGATCCAGGGAGTAGAAAATGAGCCAAGCCAACTATAAAGACAACTCACAGTCTTCATTTTCATCCCCTCACTCCCTTCCCAGGGCAGTGCTGAGCAGGGAGCAACCCACTGCCACCCTTCCAGAAGCCCAGCTATCCAGAAGCTGGAGAACAAGTAGACAAGGGGCTGAGGCTGGCCAGAGGAATGCCCTTCAGGGCATGGGCTGAGAAGGCCTTGGCACCAGGGTGCTCTGCAGTTGGCATTTTCCCCAGTCTGTCAGGATCATGTTTGTGCTCTGTGCGTTTAGAGCTGGCTGCATCTTTAAAATTGTAAGTGCCAACTTGTGTTTTATGTTTCAAAGTTCCAGAAGCAAAAACAAAACAAAAAAAGTTTGGGTACAGCAGCTCACACCTGTAGTCCCAGCCCTTAGGGAGATGGAGACTAGAGGATCACTTGAGGCCAGGAGTTCAAGACCAGCCTGGGCAACATAGCAAGACCCAGTCTCTTAAAAAAAAAAAATTAAAAAGAATAAAGTTCCAGAAGCTTTGCTGTCCTTATCCAAGCAGAGTTTGTACTTTGGCACTGGAAAGTGGGGGAGTCAGGTGTTTGTGGGAGCACATTTGGGTTGTTGCTTTGGTCAGGAAGCACCCATCAGTCTGTATCCTCTGGCTAAGGAGTGCTGGAGAGCTGTGATGCCCATTGTCCCGGGCTTCTCCCTCAAAGACGGGCCAAGGGTCTCCTTCCAGGTTTGGCCGGGACTGTCCTCTGAGCTGGGAGCACAGGGCTCCTCCCTGAGTAGCTGACCTGTCAGGCCAGCTGGATCCAGAGGTCCCACAACCTCTCAAGGCAGCGCTGGAAGCTGTCCAGAAGGCAGCAGCCATGATAAGGAACCTGGTTGACGTGGGCCCAGACCTGTCCCCTGGCAACAGAGAACAGCAGGACTGGATTTGACATTGTTTTAGGGAGCCAGAGCCCTTCCCAGTCAGGGCAGAAGCCCCGTGGAGAGCTGGGCTCCTGACCTCACCAGCCTCCACCTCCTGAAGGCTCTGGCCAAATCCACGTGTGACCTCAGGAGGGGAACACCCCCAGGAGGCCAAGGCCCCTGTCCCTGCTCAGTTGGCCACAGCCTCACTCTCCTGCCTCGGGGTTGTGTCTGTAGCAGCCTCTCTTGGGCAGCCAGGGTCAGTCAGGAGCACGGAGGGCAGACCCAAGACGGACTAGGCAGCTCTGGGGAGGTGACATCCCTTCCCACCGGCAGCCCAGAGACAGGAGCTCCCCAGCAGTGTCCCTCAAGGCCAGATTCGCAAGTAGGTGCCAGTGGAGCAAACAGAGAAAAGCGGGAACACGCGCTCCTGGAAGTTGACGCGGAAGGTGTAGAGGTGGCGCATGTCCTCCACGGCGTAGAAGGACACGGCTCCCACCTCGAGGTCCAGGGCCACCCGCACGCGCGACAGGTGCCCGCAGCTGAGGGGCGAACGCTCGGGGCTGGTCACGGCCCAGTACTGGCCGCCGTTGAGCTGCAGGGCCCAGACGCCCTCCTCGGGGGTGAAGGGCGTCAGGCCCTTTCGGCGCACGCTCTCGCGGGCCACGCCAAAGGCCCAGCCGTCCTTAGAGCCCACCTCCACCTCCCAGTGATGCCGGCCCGAGGAGAAGCCGCAGGACGCCAGGACGCGGGTGTTGGTGTCGAAGCGGCGGGGGTGGTTGGGCAGCTCCTGGGCCCGCTCGCCGAGGCGCACGCTCTTAAGATCCAGAGAGAGGATGAGGCGCGGGTTGGCTGTGTCGGGATCCAGTGTGAGCTCCACTGCAGACAGACAGGGAGAAATGTCCCCACGCAGGCAGGCCCCTGGCATACTCTTCGCAGGGCCGCGCCCGACCTTGCTCTGCAACCTGCCTGACTTTCCCTCTGGAATCCATCCAGCACCCAGCGCCAAGGCCCAACCAACCCCCATGCTCTGCATCCCAGATATTTTGCTTCCCCCCTCCCCGACCACTCAACAAATACTTACTGAAATCAAACAAATGCAATAGGTGGGCCTGATCTGAACCCCAATTCAAACAGATGGGGATATTTGAATGCTAGATATTGGAAAGATTCATTAATCTGTCCAGGTGTGATGACTGCTTTGTGGTTATGTTTTACAAAGTCTGTTTCTTTAGAGATAATACACTGAGGTATTTATGTCAATAATATGTTGACTCTGATGCTTTAAAATAATACAGTAGGCCGGGTGCGGTGGCTCACGCCTGTAATCCCAACACTTTGGGAGGCCAAGGCAGACAGATCACCAGTTCAGGAAATCGAGACCATCCTGGCTAACACCGTGAAACCCCGTGTCTACTAAAAATACAAAAAAAAAAAAAAAATAGCCAGGCGTAGTGGTGGGTGCCTGTAGTTCCAGCTACTCGGGAGGCCGAGGCAGGAGAATGGCCTGGGCCCGGGAGGCAGAGCTTGCAGTGAGCCAGATCTCGCCACTGCACTCCAGCCTGGGCAACAGAGCGAGACTCCGTCTCAAAATATAAATAAATAAATAAATAAATAAATAAATAAAATAATACGGTAGGGCCGGGTGCCTTGACTCACGCTTGTAATCCCAGCATTTTGGGAGGCCGAGGCCGATGGATCACATGAGGTCAGGAGTTTGGGACCAGCTTGGCCAACATGGCAGAAAACTTGTTTTGTATTTTCTCTACTAAAAATACAAAAATTTGCCCAGTGTGGTGTCCTGTGCCTGCAATTCCAGCTGTTTGGAAGGCTGAAGCATGAGAATCGCTTGAACCCAGGAGGCAGAGGTTGCAGTGGGCAGCGATCAGGCCACTGTACTCCAGGATCTCACTCCAGAGCAAGACCCTGTCTCAGAAAATGAAATAATCCCATAAGAAGTGGATAGCAGTGTCTGTGAAAACTGTGGCCACTAATTGACCACTGCGGAAGGTGAGAGATGGGTATGTCACCTTCTTTACACTCTTCTCTCTACTTTTGAGTATGTTAGAAATTTTTCATAATAGAAAGTTAAGGCCAGGTATAGAGGCCCATGCTTGTAATCCTGGCACTTTGGGAAGCAGAGGTGGGAAGATAGCTTGAGCCCAGGTGTTGGAGACCAGCCTGGGCAATACAGTGAGATACCCGTCTCCACAAATCACAGAACATTTAGCCAGGCATGGTGGTGTGCTCCTGTAGTCCCTGCTACTCGAGGACGCTGAGGACAGAGGATCGCTTGAGCTTGGCCGGTCGAGGCTGCAGTTCCACTGCACTCCACCCTGGGCAACAAAGCGATACCTTGTCTCCAAAAATAAAAACTTAAAATATGTACGTTTACTGTGAGCACTGCTACGTTCCAGGCCCTGGGGATACCACAGAGTATCAGATAGTCTTGCCTGCCTGCAGCTTCCTTCCCACAGCGGGGGGATTAAGGATAGATTATAAACACAGAAGACGAGAGGAACCAGAAGAGCAGGCTGTAACTTCAACCAGAGTGGCCAGGGAAGACCCTCACTGCAAAGGGGCATTGAGCAGACAGATATAAAGAAGGCAAAGAAGTGGGCCACGCGACTGGCTGGGGAAAGCATGTTCCAGGTAGGGGGCTGGGGTGGGGGAGCCTGGCAGTGCAAAGGCACTGGGATGGGTGTGTGCTTGGTACACTGAAGGAACAGCAAAGAGGATGTGTAGCTGCATGGAGTAGAAGGGGTGTGAGTGAGGCCAGATCCCTTGGGCCCTTGAGACCACCATGAGGACTCTGACCTTTAACAGGTCAGAGGGGCTGTGGCAGGGCTCTGAGCAGAGGAAGGTCTGGTCTCATTCAGGTGGTTTAGGTGGCACCCAGGCACACTCTGATTTAGCTCGGACATCAGCATCAGGAATATGTGCCCTCCCCTCCCCTCCCTCCCCTGGGTGTTGGATCCCACACACTCTAGAGCTCTGCAAGAGTAAAAACAATATTCCTTCCAGTCTTTAGCTTCCCCTTGCTTTCCTGGTCCCCTGTATGCACCCCATCCCCAGGAGAGGTTTCCGTCCGTCTTGGAGTGGGGACTGGGGAGAGGTTCACCCAGGTGGCCGAGAAGCCTTTCCCAGTCTGAGTATCTCCAGGTACAGGGCATTCCTGCTCCTAACCGACCTGCAGCGTTTGGGCCAACAGGCCCCACTGCCATCTGAGGGTGTCGGAGCTCCCAGGATGGGGAGGGGGTGGCATGAGGGAGGGGACAGAGGAACAGGGTTGCTGAGGTGGGTGGGTGGAAGGCACCAACCATATGCAAAACCCTGAGATGGTCACCAGCAGGGAGTAGGTTCTCCATGTGGCCATCACAGCACCATCCCTACCTTTCTCCTCTTTCTCCAGCTCTCCCCGAAGGTCCTCTGAGGAGGAGAAACAAAGCAAGGCATGCATGAACGATATGGGAGATTACATGGCAAGGTCACCAGCTCTTTATAGCCCAGCTGACTCATTCATTCCCCAGAGACTCCTAAGGCCAAGCATGGGGAGCCGGGGGCAGGGGGCCCATACCCAAGCATTCTAGTTCTACCTGAGTGGCTCTGAGCTCAGCTCCCCTGCATATCCCTCTTCCTACCCCCAGTCCCCCAGCAGGACCCCTCTACCCCATCTGTCCCCATGAGAAGCTGCATGCCCTGCAGGGACCTGACTAGATTTGCCACCACAGCCTCTACACCAATCTGGCCATGGCACAGCCAGCTCAGCGCCCAGGCCCCTACCTTTGAACTTCTTCAGCATCCCTTTTAAGACAAAGGTCTTGAGAGAAACATTCCAGACTTTATTCTTCATCTCAGAAGAGACTGTGGTTGGCTTGGGGCCAGGCACATTGCTACACCTGCAGGACAAGGGCTCTGAGAAGGGCCTGTCTGCACAGTTTTACTCCCACAGGCTGTGACAATTAGGATGGCGAGGTCGTCTTGGCAGGAAGAGGTAGAAGAGGGACAGCCGGACCTCGTGCAGGAAAACCCATGGCCAGGCAGGTGGGCATTCGTCTCAGAAGGTCCCCGGCAAGCAAATCGGGGGATCAGGAGGCGAGAGGCCAGGGGACAGGAAATAAAGAGAAGGCTCAGTGAAAAGAGAAGAGGCAACTTAGAGAGGCTCCAGGAGCTGTGAGGTCACTCACCTGCTCAGCGTGCTTTTGAATTCCTGGAAGGAAAGATAGAGGAAACCAAATCAGCATCAGGTAACCTCCATTCACCTCTGAGGAACAAAGCTTGCCCCTCGCTGTGCCTCCAAGATGTAAGTGGTAAGCAGGTGTGCCATGCCTCACTGCCTGCATGGACTTAGGTGACAGCAACTTGCAGTGGCTGCTGGCTGCAGGGTGTCTCATCCACGTGGTGGACCTCTCACACTTTGCCACAGCTCTTCAAATGCTTTCTTTCTATCTTTGCTGCTTTCTTTATTACAGAATCATCACTGGAGCTATCCCATGGGACCCAGTGCTGCCTGTGTCCTGGAAACCACCTGAGGAGGTCACAGCCCTTATGCACCTCCTGCTCACTCAGCCCAGTAGTGACTGTTATTAACCCGTCTGTGGATTGTGAAGTTTATCTAGTGGTTTATAACTTTTTTTTTTAGTGAAATAGAATAGAAAACATCAAAGTGCATACGTGTAGCAAAGGTGAGTATTATCTTCTGAGACTTTTGTCCCAAGCATGCGATTCTGAAATACGATATATATTATTGTGGCTCATAGTCAAGAAAGTGTTAATCACATCCCTCTAGACCTCCAACCCCAGGAAAATCAGGGCACTTCCCTCCAGTCCCCTTCAGCTCCAGATGGTGTGATTCTCCTGAACCCCCAGGACTGATACTGTCCTCTAGCTGCCGGTCCTGATGCTTTCGGACAAATGACTTGAGCCTCTGGGTAAGCCAGACTTACCTGGAGAAAGTCAAGGTCAGGCTTTTGAGCTGTCTCCTGGATCTGGCTGCTGAGCTTGGACAGCTGGGTGATCTCAGCACCGAGCTGGGCCAGGTTCTCATTCTGCTTCTGTGCCACCTCCCGGGACAGTTCCTCCAGGCGGCTTAGCAGCCGGCCCTCCTGCTCCACTAGGAAGGCCCTCAGCGCCTGGAACTCTGCCCCCACCTTCTCCTGCTCCGCTGCCATCTGCTTCTGTCCCAGGAGGAGAATTGGAGAGGTAGGGGACTTGAGCATGGAGACATAACATTTGGCCAGTGGCCTGAGTCATCCCATAGGGCAAGGCTTCATCCCTGTCACTGCTGGGGGATCAGAGACACACCCACCTATGCAGGCAGTGCATGCTCTATTTTCAATGTCCCAGCTCCGAACAAGCTGTAGTCTCAACACGTGCTCTTTTCTCCCTTGCCACAGATGTGCCCACGCGTGTCTGTGGACCTGTGCTCCACCACCTAAACCAAGGCAGCATCATACTCCCCCCAGAACTACACCAAGTGGCAGTTTCCTCACTTGAAAAGTAGAAGGGATAAATTAGTGCCTCCTGGGGCAACCATAGGATTAAACTGAGATTGCCTTTTCCTCCTTAAGCACGTTAATTTCATCACCCTCAAACTTTTACTCTTCACTTTGTTTTTAAAGGCCATCTTCCCTGTTTAGCAGTTATAATGGTAACACATGCTCAAAATACAAAACTTGGGAGATGTAGGAAAGTAGAAAGAAGGAAGAAAAGTCCGATGCCAGTGACCAGAGGTAGCAGCTCACCCCCAAGGAACTAAGTGAGAATATGCTGTGTGCAAGCTTGATATTCTATTCTTTCCGTTAACAGCATACACAAGATTTTTTACTCGAGTTTTCAGATGCAGACTCATGCCCTGATCTCTTGATTTTTTTGTGGGAACACACGTGTGGTACTCAGTGTGTCCCACCAGGAAGTTTCTCTTCCTTAAAACTCCTGGGCGGAGGAAGGAAGTCCCGGGAAGCTGGGAGACCTGGGTTCAGGTGTCGCACAATGCCCCCACCTTTCCTTCAGCTTCCAGGCAGGCTGCAGTAGCCCGGAGAGCCTTATAGGTATTAACTCCCTCAACCCTGACGGCAGCCCAGTGAGGTGGGTGCACTTCCCCCCAAGTCTTTCAGGTGAGGAGACAAAGGCAGACACATCACCGGGAAGTGGTAAGCCAGGCTTCTAGGCCAGGGAGCCAGAACGCAGAGTCTGAGCTTCTGGCAGCTACATCATATTGCCTCACAAGGAAATAACATAAGTGAAACAGTATTTGCCAAAACACTCTACACCAGGGTTTCCCAACCTTAACGCAGGTGACATTCTGGGCCAGATACTCCTTGGTTGTGGGGGGGCTGTCCTGTGCCTGGTAGGATGTTTAGCAGCCCCTCTGGCCTCTACCACTAAATGCCAATAGCATCCGTATCCCATTGTTGACAACCAGAAATATAGTATCTCCAGACTTTGCCAGATGTCCCCTGGGGTAGGAGTATTTTCAAATAAGAGTATTCCTTCTCCCTTTTATGTTGCAGCAATAGTTGGACTCTACCTCTGATGTTTCATTAAGCAGGGTATTTAAATGATACGAGCATCATAAATCACAGAAGTATTTTCTCACTGTAAAGAAGAGGTGGAGCTCACACCTGTAATCTCAGCACTTTGGGAGGCTGAAGGGGGCGAAGTTAGGGGAGGAGGTTGCTTGAGCCCACGAGTTCCAGACCAGCCTGGGCAACATGGGAGACTACCCCCAACCCCAGCTCTACAAAAAATAAATTAAAAATTAGCCAGGTGGAGTGGTGCACACCTGTAGTCCCAGCTACTCAGGAGGCTGAAGTGGGGGGGTCGCTTGAACTACTCCAGCCTTAGTGACAAAGCGAGACTCTGTGTAAAAGCAAAACAAAACAACAACAAAAATGAATGTGGGGGTGATGGATGGATGTTGGGAGCGGACAGAGGTGGAAGGTGTTAAGCAAGGCCTGGGGACTCCGGTCAGAGACCATGAAGCTGCCACCGGTGCCTGGGAAGGCCCTCTGGTTCCTGGATGTCAGCCAGTGGCGGAAGAGCTGCGCTGGAAGTTGTTTCTCCAGCGGAGGAGGGATGAAGGTCTGGAGGGTGAGCTCTTCATCATGGAGGGAAGTGAGTGATTGGGTGGGAAGGTCTGGGATGCACGCTGGATGCAGGCACCACAGATATAGTTGAGGGTCTGGAAAGGACCCTAGGGTGTCTGAACTCCAGGCTCCTCCTCCACCCCTCCTGACATTGAGGATGGGAGGGTCCTCTAGTTCACCTTCCTCCAATTCCCTGCTTTGACAGGCCCTATTTCATTCTTTTTTTTTTTTTTGATGGATTTTCACTCTTGTTGCCCAGGCTGGAGTGCAGTGGCGTGATCTTGGCTCACTGCAACCTCTACCTCCCAGGTTCAAGCTATTCTTCTGCCTCACCCTCCCGAGTAGCTGGGATTACAGGCAATGCGCCACCACACCCGGCTAATTTTGTATTTTTAGTGGCGATGGGGGTTTCTCCATGTTGGTCAGGCTGGTCTGGAACTCCCAACCTCAGGTGATCCGCCCGCCTGGGCCTCCCAAAGTGCTGGGATTACAGGCGGTGAGCCGTGGCACTCAGCCAATCCTTTCCTTCTTTCAACACTTATTTACTGAGCTAGGAACTGAATTTGCAAGGTAGAAAATGACCGATGGTGATTCATGTTTGCTTATCTTAACCAAAATTAGTCCCCATTTCACTTTCCTGTTCTACTCTAAGGAAGATAAAATATCATTCCAACTTGGGGTAGAGGCAGATGCCAGTATGCAAGACCCTGGGCTGTGCAGCAGGGGCTACTGTCAACTCAAGACCCCAAACTGCCTCACTGTGCCGGAGCCACGAAGCGGCTGACACCCTCCAGCCCCTTCTCCCTTAGCCTCAATTTCAAATAAAAAAACTCAGAAAATGAAAATTTTTTCACTCCTCTTTTGTTGATAAAACATCCCATGAGGTTCTTTATCGTATTAAGAGTCCCATTTATGGAATATTCATGTTTCTCTGCAGAAATATTAATGTGTTCAATTACAAGATGCTTCCACAGGCCCTAACTGGTATGTTATGTAATATCAGAGTGACTGTATGTCCTGATTCGCTGGGACAGTTCCAGTTTAAGCCAGTTGTTTTGCAATAATTATTTTTAGCACACCTTTTCACTTTAAAAAGCTCTGCTTTGTACAGTAATTATATGGTCACCCTATGTAACATGCACTCTTTTATTTTTCTGAAATCTATTCTGCGGTTCCATAGCACACACTCCAACACCACACACACTGAACCCTGGTGCTGCGTAGGCCTCTATAATCTCCCACGGGGTGCCGGGGGGTGCCTGGCTCACCAGGAGCTCCTTGCTCTCCTTCTCTTCCGTGGACCGGGACACCTCATAGTCCTCCAGTTCCTTCTTCAAGACCCTCAGCCTGGACTCCAAGAGCTCCTGTAGGTGAAGGGAAACAATGTGAGGTGGGGGGGAGGGGATTCTGGAAACCCCCACCTCTGCCTCCTGGAGCCAGCCAGGAGAAAGGGAAGGCCCTGCTCACTGAGGGGGAGGCCGGGTAGAAGTCTGTCTACAGGTTGCAGGTTACACTGCGAGGGGACTCTGAAGGTCTCGGGATCTTGCGTCCCCAAAAGCATCTGCTGGACCAGCCAGACTGAAACACAAGCCTCCAGCAGCCCTACCCCTAGTCGTCTCCTCTGCTCTCCGCCCCACCATCAGGAAGCCCTGTGGGTGGGAGAGTTGGAGCAGGATAGGTGAGCAAGGAGAAACTGGTGACTGCCGCCCGAGCCTCCCCGCCCCGCCCTCACCCCTGCACACACCCTCGCTGAGGCTCAGCGAGAAAATAGCAAAGAAAGGGCGCTCAGAATCGACAGCCTTGGCACAGTCAGACGGCTCTCGGTGCTGCTTGACCCAGGAGCCCCCTCCCTGGACCTCTTGGCGAGGTCCTCCCACTCAGTTCCACGAGGTGGGGACTTTGAGCAGAGCCCGCTTCAGGGAAAGAGATAAGAGTGGGGGCAGCGGCTGCCTGGCTGTGCCGGAGACGTCCCGCGGGCGCAGAGCTGCGGAGACGCAGACCAGGCTAGAGGCTCTGAACAGACAGGAAAAACATCGCCAAGTCCGCGGGGGACGTCGCGCAGGCAGCCCAGTGTCTGGCCCAGAGGGAAACGCAGTGGGGGTGGGGTGGGGGTATTGGTGATGTTCGGGGTGACAGAGAACCGCGCTCAGCCGGGGGACCCGTGCTGGGCTTCCTGGAATAGGAGAAAGAAGGGAGGGCTCACCCGGGCCTCCTGATCGACAGTCTGTTCTCTGCACCGCGTGCGCGGGAGCGCGGGACCAGGGCAGGGGGTCCCGGGGACCCACAGGGGTGGGTGCGGGCTGCGCTCACCTTGGCGTCCTGCACCGCCTCGTCCAGCGGCAGCACGGCGTGCTCGCGGTGCTCGCGGGCGCGGTCGCACACCACGCAGATGGCACGTCCGTCGTCCTGGCAGTAGAGCTTGAATGGTTCGCCATGCTGACCGCACCGGGCAGCCGCTGCCCCGGCCGAGGGCGCCTGGGACCCGTGCTCTCCCGGGGCGGCCGCGGGCAGGCTGAAGCGCCGAAGGAGGGTGGCCACGGCGGCCAGCTGCCGGTTGGGCCGCAGCTGACTGGGGCGCGCGGGCTCGCGGCACTGCGGGCAGGGCAGTGGGAAGGGCGGCGCGCGGGTCACCGCCCCAACAATACCCGCGCCCGGGCGCTCCCAGCAGCGCCCTATGCAGGCGCGGCAGAAGCTGTGGCCGCACTCGACGGACACCGGCTCACGAAAAAGCTCTAGGCAGATGGAGCACGTCGCCTCGCCCTGCAGCTCTGCCGCCAGCGCTAGAGCCTCGGCCCCGGTGCCGGGGCCGGTCCGCGGCCCCACAGCCGCCATGCGCGCTCTCCGCGCTCTCAGATCTGGTAGCGCCTGGGCGGCCGCTGGACCTCACAGGACGCGGGTCGGAGCCCGACGTCCGAGCTGGCCGCCGAGTGCCCACTGGGAGAGGAAGGGCGGGGCTGCCACTGGGCAGGCAGAGACTTGAGCCCAGGGCGCGCCCGGCTGGGAGCCGGGAGGGGAGGCGCACGTTGACTACAGGCCCGAAGACACTGGGCCATTCAAGCGCGGGACAGCGCCCCGCGCCCCGGACCTGCGCTCCACCAGCCCCCGCCTTGGCCAGCGGCCTCTCCCCGTCGCCCCAGTCGCTCAGCCTCTCCAGGCCGCCCCAGCCTGACCCAGTCAGCCGCGGGAAACGGGCCGCGACAGGTGGGCGCACAAACCCTGCCGGGAGCCACTCCCGGTTTCCGACCGAGGCCGACCCAGCATCTCGGAGCAAGGGCCTGGCGCTCGGGCCACGGTGTCAGGTTCCCCTAGCGCAGGTTCGCCCCGGCCCTGAACTGAGCTAAATTTAGAGACTGGAACCTGGCCCTGTCCCCTCACCCTCAAGCATGGCCTTGTATCCACTCCATTACCTTTTCTGCGACCGTCCTCTCCCTTCTTTACTCTTTACTTAATATTTGAACAGATAATACATATATACTTTCCC